GGAGGAGGAGGGGGGGAGGACAAGCTAGGTGCGCTCGCGTCATATCTGACGTCCTACCCCTCCCTCCCATCCCTTACCATGGCGCTGATTTTCTCTATCCGCGGACGCGTGTCGTAGCGGACCTGTGGCTCCGCGCGCGCGTGCGTAGTGGGTGGTGGTGCACGTGCGTGCGTGCGTGCGTGTGTGCGTGGTTGTCGTGGTGGTGGTGGTGGTGGTGGTGGTGGTGGTGGTGGTGGTGGTGGTGGTGGTGGTGGTGGTGGTGGTGGTGGTGGTGGTGGTGGTGGTGGTGCTGGTGGTGGTGGTGTTGGTACTGGTGCTGGTGCTGGTTGTGGTTGTGGTGGTGGTGGTGGTGGTGGTGGTGGTGGTGGTGGCGGTGCGCGCGGTGGTGGCGGGCGGATGGGCGCGCGAGAAAAGGCCCGCGCTGGGGCGAGAACGCCATCCTGAACGACGGAGGCCAAACACCGATCCGAAAATGAGGCCCACGCTGCAGCGGGAGCACGATTCGGAACGATTCGGGAGCAGAAATGAGGCCAGCGCCTCAACGAGAGCAGCATTTTGGGAAAAAATGACGCCGGCGCCTCAGCGAGAGTCGTTTCCCGGGATTTCCCGGGAATCCTGTGTGTAAAAAAACAGTACGCGGAGGGTGCGCGGCCATCACCCGGACGCCATCAGGGGAAGAGGGAGAGTATATTCATATTGAGTGATTGTGAAGGGGAGGGGGAGGGGGAGGACGGGGGGAGGAGGCGACGTGGGCGGTGTCGAGGGCAACGGCGGCGACGACGGCGGCGGTGGCGAAGACCGCAGCAGCAGCGACCACGACGGCGACGGCGGCGGCGGAGGCGAAGGCGGTGGCGGTGGCTGCAGCCTGCGGCGGAACGCAGGCCCACCCGGCGTGTGCGCGCGCTGCGGCGCTCCGGCGAGCAGGCCGTGCTGCTGCCTGCTGCCGCCGCTTCCGCTGGCGCGCTGCCGCTGTCGCCGCCTGGCTTCGACTCGAGCGGTGGGCTCGGCTGCGCTGCCGTGCGCTTCGGCTCTGCTCTCGGCCTCCGGCTGTGGGTGCACTTCGGAGGCCCCCCGTCGAGCCAGTTCCTCGCTTCCTCCCTCCCCTCCCTTCCTCGTTGTCGTCCTTCTCCTCTTCTCTCTCCTTTCCTCCTCCTCGTTCTTCTCATCCTCCTTGTGCTTCTCCTTCTGCTTCTCCTCGTGCTCCTCCTCCTCCTCCTCCTCCTCTTCGCTCCTCGCTCCAGCGGGTACTGCGGGTACTGCAGAGGTCAGCCATACAGAGCACAGAAGACCCGAGGGCACACACCGCGAGTGGGCCCATGCCTTCCGTCCGGCCCTCCGTCCAGCCGCGGAGCCTAGCTCCGCAGCGTCTCGACCACCGCGCCGTATAGGAAGTCTGCGGGCGGTGGGGGGGAAGAGGGCGGGCGCGGAAACCAAAAGCTATCACCGTCGAGCAACCTCCTCGAACAGCGATCAGCTTAGCCAGCTTAGCTGGTGATGGGAGTGAATTCGACATGCTGTGCTGGGAAGCTTGCCTGCCAGAAGGGCTCGCTTCTCCTTCCGATTATCGGGCACGCATCTCTTCCTAAGCTTTCCGGCTTTCTGTGTCCCGAGCGCTCCGCACTTCGAGCAGAACACGACAGGGAAACCAGACTCTACCACAAACACAACATGAAGAGAATGCCCACAGTGCCCAGGCTCTCGGATGACCTCTCTGATGGAGGGGGTGAGAGCCTGGCACAGGGTCTTGGTAGTAGCAGAAACAGTGCGGAGACAGCAGCTACACCTTCAGTGATCGATATGTCAGTAAGGGATGTGTATGTGTGGGTAGGTGGCGGGTCTCCTGGCACGGAGTCTGACGAAACCCTTAGCTAGCTCACCAAACAACTCGGCTGGGGTTGGCCACAAGACAAGGACACCCCAAGACAGTTCCTTCAACTTGTTGCACGAAGAGAGTACGGTACTGGACGTGGCTGTGACAAACTCATGCACCCTGGCCCCTTGGCCCGCAAGCTACTCTGCTGCTGCACTGCTGCGGATATCTTTTCTGTCCGATTTTGAGGTGGCTGATCATTCTGCTCGGTGGGCATTCACTTTGCGGAAGGAGACCCACTCTCCTGCCTCGAGGGTCTCGGCTACCTCACCCCAAAAATGAGCAGCGTCACACTTCGCCGCTGGCACTTGGTCAGGATGGGCCTGCGCACGCAGGAGGGCCCCGAAGTCCACAGCCACATGGCTCGAAGAGTAGCTACTGTCTTTGCGCTCGGTGTGCATGTAGGCCATCATGACCGCTATGTGCTCACCTACTTTGCTAGACTGCCCAAAACGCGCGGGGTGTGTCCAGGTATTCCTTGCCTGAGGTTCCCCGGGTCATCCAGGTCCGCCATCCCCTACACCGCCCTCGCCAAGTACCCCAGACTCGGCCTCAGGCAGGATACGTCAGAAAAAATGCTATGTGGCGAGAACGCGAAAGGGGTTATGCAGCGTGCTTCCTGGTACAACTTCACCTCCCATTCCTCCTCTGGAGGGTCCGCTGAGATTCTAGCAAGCCAGCATCTGGTAAAAAGCAGGCTGGTGGTGCCAGCCGCACGAGCGTGGGTTACCGTCTCTTGCGACGCAACTTCCTATCTCTTGTTCTGGCCATGGCAGACTCCCCACACTCTGTGCAAGACCGTGTCGGGCACCTCGCAACCAAGATTGCATTCGGGAGCTACGGAGGATCCCCAGGCCCTTAAACGCATGGCTGTGGGGGTTGCCCTTCTGACAGCCTGTATGACAGCAAGGACTTCTGTGGGTTCCAGGTCGTTCTTACTGACCAAGACCTTGGCCGCGAACTCCCACCAAAGCCCCTGTTCCTGAATGAGGTCACTTGACGTGCTAGTGTGAGCCTGTCAAACCTTCCTGGCGCCATCTGGATCCTAGAGTCCTTACGCTGAGCATCAAAACGCTTCGCAATGAAAGCAGTGGCCTTCTCCCGAACATCGAGGGTGATCGCTTCGAGGTCAGGAAGGAGCTAGGACCCACCACCGTCCACCCAGCATCCCAACACCAGAGGAGGAGATCACTGAGTGGCCACTTACTTTACTTAAGCCAACTCTTGGCGGCAGCCTCTGTATTAAAGTTATTGCGAGCAGCCTGGAACAACCTTGCCAGAACATGGGGCGGAAGCACAGCGTCACGCCGCCGCTGAATGCCTGGGCGAGGGGCATTGGAGATCCAACATTCCGCGCCGTAGCGAAACATACACGTACCCCCAGCGTGAGTGGGGTCCTTTGCGCTAGAGAGCGCCCAGGCAAACTCTGCATTGATATCTTTCAGCGATGTGCCTATCGACGTCGATCCATGCGCTTGAAGTCTGTGTGCTCGTGGCGGGGTGAGAGCATGTGGACCTCTGCCCAAAAAAAGAACCGTGGGAACCAGTTTCGTTATCGCAAGCCGAGTCTCGTGTCCACGTCGTGTGAACCTCATGCTGGCCAACTTCTTTTTCTTGGTAAGCATCTTTCACAATCTCTGATTTCTGGTAGTGTGTGCCCGCGCGATGCTTTCCGCCAGTGGAATCGATGCCACTATTCCGCAGGCCGAATTCTTTATCTCCATCTAACTTGCCCTACATGCTCCTAGCGAGCTATGCCAACTGTCTGGAGGATGTGACCGTGCTCAGCTTGTGTTCTGCCAGCAGTAGGTGCAGCTCTTTCTGGAGACGGCGCCTCACTCTGTGAACGTGTGCCCTCACTTCCTCGGTAATGCGAACAATCGGCTCACCCCAAAGGTGCTTTGATAGGTCCTCTGTGTGCAGGGGCAGTGTGCTGTTGGTGCCACCGCGTAGCTGAACCTCATCACCCATCAGGTGAATGCGCGCCATGTCCGCCTCGACCGTCACACTTGCTGATCCTGTCGCAATACTTCTCCTGGGGACCAGTGGACGCATCACCATGCCGTCGTGCTGGAGGTACCCTAGCCAGCTGTAGGTCTGTACCGCAATCCCCAGCACTGCGATCGGGAAGTTCGTGATGGTACGATTCGTCTCCAGCAGGTCCAACGGTGCGTTCTCGTAGAATTGCAGAATGTCCCACACCACGCGTATGTGAAGTGCATCCCCAGGTTGTTGGTTCCTTCCGCAACTGCTGCGTGTCTCCATACACCATGCAGTGCCACTTGGTCCTCGACCTTGCGATCCTGCGGACTGACCACCAAGATTTTGGTATACCTCCCATCTCCGTAGTCGTTGTCGCCACTTTCTGCCTGAGATTCTTGACGGTGCAGGGTGCAGACCTAAGAGGCGATGTCCACTTGAGGTTGAGTGATTAAGATGTGCCACCGTAACTTCTGTAATGACTCGGGAGGTTGGCCATCCATCTCCATCAGTAGCAGCAGCTTGCCAAATGCAGTGCGTGTGCCTTCTCACAGTAAGCTGTAATACCTCGGATGCCATCCGTCTGGTTGGCACGTCCCAGTCTTGAAACGTTTGCTGGGCTCCTGGACGTTGTCTGCTGCCAGTAGGGCCATCACATGGTCCACGTGGTCACCAAAGTTGGGCACAGGCTCATCGGAGTCTTCGCAGCCCCTCGCTTTGGACCATTTCCCTGTTTCAGCCATCATCCTGTTCTCGAGGGAGCAGCAGTCCAGGGCAACGTTGACTGGTCCACTGTGCTGGAATCTCTGAGCGATGCCCCTCTCTTTCGTGCAGCCCTGCGCCCGTCTCGCTCCTGTCTGCATGGCTTGGTCACACAACTCTTTCCGTTTGTGTCTGCATATGCTGTTACCTGACAGTGCCACACGGTCATGCCAAGATTTACAGGTGTCCATACCCACCTCTAGCCACTCAATGCCTAGAGTCTGCGGCTGCATGATCATGAGATGTCCCATTGTCCTGCGCAGTGAGTTCCAGAAACTGGTGCCTTTCCAGACGGTGCTGAACGGACTCTGCGATGCAGCTTCTCCATCATTCTAACAATCCTGTCGAAATTGTTTTTGTTCTTTCCAGAAAGGTCTAGTGCCCTGATCTCCTGCAGCCAGGAAATTGCCGAAGCCAAAGCACGCTGCGGATCCAATTTTGGGTACGATTTCGTCATGAGCACCTTCCTGACAGGCTTGTGTTTCCCAGTGGGTCGCAGCTCCTCCAGGTGGTCCTTTGCCTGAATATATTTTGGCACGTAGCAACCCATCCCAGGCAATCTTGTTCCATTTTCATACGCCTCATTAGGAACAGCAGGTCCTCGCTTCCTCTCATCTCCCTGTAGTGTGTGATGGTTCCCTGTGCCGCCGATCTTACCAAACAATTCGTCCAGAAGCCGATCTGGTTCACCAGCATCAGGGCCTTGAAGTAGGGGGCCCACGCATCTGTCACCACCCAGTAAACCACCCCAACCCAACCGGAAGGCCCCAATTTGCCCGCCATTCCAGTGTGGGGGGTCGGGGAACATTGAACAACACGTATGGAAGCCAAACCCCCCCAAATCCGAAATTCGGGTCTTCGGGTTGGGTTGGGGTGGTCTGGTAGGTAGTCAATTTGGTAGCCGGTGGAACTTGGGACGTCTCCAGGTCCTGTCTCGAATCTTATCTTCACTGGTCGGTGGGGGTCCACAGGAGCGTCCGTCATCATCTCGAAAGAACTTGCCATGTGGTCCGTAGCAAACCATGGGAGCCTGGTATATCCTCTTAATTCCATCTTTAACGTCGATTTGCGTCGACTAGCGTTTGGGAGTAGACGAGCTGTGCCGATTTAGCGTCGGTTAGCGTCGATTAGCGTCGATTTGGCGTCGATTTAGCGTCGATCAGCGTCGACTAGCGTCTGGGAGACGATGAGATGTTCCGATTTAGCGTTGGTTAGCGTCGATTAGCGTCAATTTAACGTCGATTTAGCGTCGGCTTAGGGTCGACAAGCGTCGATTAGCGTCGAGTCGCAAGAGCCGACAAGATGGTATGGGAGGCTACCATGAGTTGCCACCGAACATGTGGTCAATAGCTTTGCTGATCACGAGAAGTCGATCGTGGACTCATGTGTATTAAGCACATACGATGGCGTCGCCTCGTCTCCTCTGACCACCATCGAATGAGGTGGGTTGTTCCAATCACCTCCTAAGGCAGATGTAATCTCTGTGCCAGCGATGCCTGATCCAGTTCGGCGCAATTCTTGAGATTACGTGGAGAAACCTTGCCTCACATGTAGGTAGCACGTGCCCACCATGAACGCGCCCAATTCGCTCGATCTGACGTAGCATCTATTTCCTCTACCATGGTAAAGACATCCCTCATCTGGCGCCCAGCTTTCTAGATGTGCTCGAACCATGGTGCCAACTCATCCTGATGCTCTGCCCTTCTTATTAGGCAGTGCTGGTTCTCCATAGGTGTGCCATTCCAAATTTGTCACCTTCTTGACTGTGTCGGCGTATCTTGTTGGTAACGGTTGATGCTCCTGTGCTAGATTTATTGCTGACGTAAGCCACGGCAGTACGTTCTCTCATGATGACCATGACGATGCGTTGACGCTGGCAACGGACATGCTCTGAATCTCGCTGTGCTTCTTATTTCCCTGCCTGTACTCTCGTGGTTCTCGAGGCAGCCTGCAGTTCTCTGGGTGGGTGAGTGTAGTGACGTAAACGGAGAAACCAACCCAGGCGCTGTACGTACACCTGGTCCATGTGCGCTCTCTTCTCTCCCTCCAGCGGCGATTCCCGTCCCCTGAGTTCCTCAGGGGTTGGGTCACAAGTTTCTCTGGGACGGTGAGTGTCCCGTGGGGGGGCGGAGTAGCCCATCCTGTCGCCACATGTACACCTGGTTTCACAGGGGTCCGGTCTCAGCTTGCTCTGGGATCGTGAGTGTAGCGAGACAGACGGAGTAGCCAGCCCAGCCGCACGTACACCTGCTTCATGCGTGCTTTCTTCCCGTCCCTCCAGCCGATTCGCCTCCCCACTGGGCTGGAGTCTCAACTATCAGGATCGGGGGAGTGTAGCATCAGAGATGACGTATTTCGCTCAGCTGTAACCACGCCAATCCAATCTGTTGCATCGTTGTCACCGTTTGGAGCGCTCTGGTTCCTGCTTCCATTCCCTTAGCGAAATCATGCGGGGGCAACTGGAATCCTGGGCTGAAAGTATTGATACTGCTTTCTCTCGCACCGGCGCCACCTCTGAGCCACCAGAGCCAGTTGCTGCGTTTGAAACTGTCGCTGTTGATGGTGTAGCACCTCGCGTGCCCGTATTAGCACCCGAATCCGCTTTATCATTGTCCTTCCCATCTCCCTCTCCAGCAGAGTAGCTTCACCCAAGTGCGTCTTCCGCGTTTTGCCTTCAGTCCTTTTCTTTTGTTCTTCATGCTCTTGACGAAATGCATCCGCTCGAACTTTGACCGGGCCGAACATGTGTGTTCGCCGACTCTGCGAACGCTTCTTCGAGATCTGCAATCCTTTTCTCTACTTCTGCTTCGTCCTCGACCGAGAGGTCACAGAAGTCGCTTAGCCCGAAGAGGTCACTTGGGTTCATGTCCAGGAACTCTAGTCTATCTGCTATGATGTCCTCAGTCGTCAGCGTTCCAACCGTGGGTGGGGTCTGGGTACCTGAAACGCCCATGTGCTCCTGGATCGTGGACTTCTATATCTCCTCTTGCTCCTCAGGCTGGTCGCTGATGTTCTTGATCTGGCCGACGTGGTACGAGGCTTGGGCCATGACCTTCTCGTGAGCCTGCATCTTGTGCCCAAGGAACTTTTTTTTGCCATGCAAAGAGCCCGACTACACGATGTCCTGTTCGCATAGCTCCGACTTTCCTGTGGATAGGCGAGCGGACATTTGAGCCCCGCCTCCGAACGACATGGCTGCCGAGTTACTCCCTTTCACTTGCTCCTGCTGAAAGCCGACTTAGTTTGCCCTGCACGCCCTGACTGTGCTCTCTCATACTGCCATGCCGTTCCATGCTACAATGTTTATACCACGTCCATCGCCACTTGTTCCTGGCGCATCCTTAACCCGAACATTTCCACCCACCACTTGGTTTGGGAGAAGGAATCATGGCCTTAGCGCACGGTGAGTTAGGACCGTCGTAAGCAGTGGCTCCTCGCTCCTCCCTCCTCCCTCCCTCCTCCTTCCCCCTCCTCCATCCTCCCTCCTCGTCCTCCTCCGTCCTCCCTCCTCCATCCTCCGTCCTCCTTCCTCCCTCCTTCTCCATCCTCGATCCTCCTCCCTCCCTTGTCTTCCTCCTTCTCCTCCTTCCCCCCGTCGTCCTGCTCCTCGTCTTCTTCTCTCACCTCTGGGTCGTCCCCCCTCCCTTTGGTTGGCGCGGACGGCCAGCTCGTCGTCGTCGCCGTCCCTCCTCTTGCTGCTGCTGCTGCCCGACGTCCACCTCCACCTCCTTATCCTCCTCCTCCTTCTCCTCTTCCTCCTCCGTATCCCTTCCGCTGCTCATCCTCTTTCTCCTCCTTCCCCTCCATCCTGCTCCTACTCCTGCTCCTGCGCTGCTGACGCGCGTCCGTCCGAGCACTGTGATCGGGAGCCTGCGCCGGCCAGGGTCTACAGACCACATATACTTGGGACTGCGATGGAGATCGCGACGTCCGCCCAGTGCCCCAGGCCCCCTCCTCTACCGCTGCCACGCCGCCTCCTCCTCCCCTCCGCCTCGTCTGCGTAGCCCGGCCGCTGTAGTCGCCGCCTGGCCTGGTCGCCTGTCTCAGCCTCACCTCCTCCTCCTCCTCCTTCTCCTCCTCCTCCTCCTCTTCCTCCTCCTCCTCCTCTTCTGCCGTCTCTTTGCCCTCCTCCTCCTCCTCCTCCTCCTCCTCTTTGCCGCTGTCGTCGTCGGGTGCCTGTGGCCCTGCTGCAGCCCAATCCTTGTCGCCCCTGCGCTGGCCTCGCTGCCTCTCCTCCTCACTCGCCCGCCGCCTTCTCTGCCTCCTCCTCTGCGCTCCTCCTCCGCCGCTTGCTCAACCTCCTCCTTCTCCCCTCCTCCTCCTCCTCCGCCCTCATGCCAGGCACGTCCGCCGCCGGCCTCACCTGGCTCCTGCCAGAAGGAGCAGGTCCTGGCGGACACGTGCACTCGCGATGCGCCAGGCGACAGCGGCCTGCACGGCGATACCGACCTGCTGCCAAAGGCCAGCCGCCAGTGCGGAAGCTCGCGACCCGCCGCCTGCCGTGACGGCCAGCATGCGGACGGTCGCCCGCGCGCTCTCGCCTGGGCGGCTCCCCAGCTCAAAGCACGCACGGGGAGACGTTGAGCCCCGCGCAGCGCCGCCGCTTGGCCGTCTCCTCCTCCGCCGCTGCGGCTCCGTGCCTGTTGGCGGCTGCTCGGATCTTGGGCAGGTCACTGCGGGCGCTTGCCACGACGTCAACGGCCACGGGTCTGCCATCGTAGTTGAGCACGACGTCCAGCACGTCCACAGCCTCGTCGTCTGCCGTCGCGTCCGCCAGGGCCTGCGCCCGCTAGCTTTCGAGCCCTTGCTCACGGAACGCGCGAGGGTCGATGTGCGCCTCGACGAAGTGCCACAAGATGTCACGGATCTCGGATCTCGTTGTGTCCCCCAACAACATCGCCGCCGATCTTGCACCCCTGTGGGTGTACGAGACCCTGAAGACCATCCAGCTGCGCCCCGCAAGCACCTCGAGTACCGGAGTGATGGCAACGCGTCTCCGCACGCGCTGGATAGACTACCTGTTCGACCGTGCACAGCAGGCGCCTGCGCAGAGCTATGCGCCAGGCTCCGTCCGCGATGGCCTGGTTGCCGGGCTGAGGCACGCACAAGAAGCTGCCTGCTCCAGCGCCGCCTGCTTGCTGCAGCCGCGCCCAGAAGTGTTTCTGGTCGCCGCCGAAGGTGGTCTCGCGCAGTCGGAGGTTCACGGCCTCCATGATCACCCTCTGCATGCGCTCGTTGGGTTCGGCGGTGACGTCCAGCTTTACGTCGCTGGCCAGCGCGGGTGCTCCCGCTCCTGCTCCTGCTCCTGCTGCTCCTGCTCCTCGCCATCCCTCTCCCTCAGGTTCCCTGCCCCCCCCCCAGGGGCTCGCCGTCGTCTTTCTTCTCCCTCTCCCTCTTCCCCCTCTCCTCCTCGCCTGCCCGGCCGCCCGGTCTGTCCTCGCCCCGGCGCGCAGCCGAGCGGCGACGACGATGCCGCCGCCGAGGTCGACGATGACGATGGTGACGGCGATGGCGGCGGCTGCGGCGGCGGGAGACGGGCGACGAGCGACGGGCGACGAGCGACGAGTGACGGGCGGCGAAGACGACGAGCGACGAGGAGCGTCGAAGACGAGGCGCGGCGAGCGGCGACGAGCGGCGAGCGGCGAGCGGCGAGCGCCGCCGGTCAGGCGCGCCGCTCATCCTCAGCACCTCCCCGGCGCAGCGCGGCCCGATCGGCGGCGCGGCGCCGCAGCGTCGTGCCCCGGACGGGGCGCAAGACGGGCGGCGCGGGGCCGGCGTGCGCGGCGTGGCGGGGCAGGACCACCACCGTCGGGGCAGCGTAAGGTTCGAGTACGGGATAGGTTCGCGTCGTGTCGACCGTCCGCGACCCCGCCGCCGGGGCGTTCCACGTGGAAGGGCCGCCAGCGATCCAGAGTCGGCCCATCGTGGACCGATTCGACGTTTCGGACATGGCCGCTCGTTCAGGGTTGAACGAGCCCCGCGGTGTCAGGGACCAACGCCGGGTTCGGCACGACACGAGCCCGCGTTACGCCGGAACTCGGGCTTGCCGACGCTTTTTGACGAGCGCGACCTGGCTTTGGATGGTCCAGTTTTCGTGGGATGGCTGCAGTGGGCGCTTGCGCCAAATTTCGGATCGGGTCCGAGTCTGACGTTTCCCCGACATCGGCTGCGCGCAGCGGTGGCCCCTGGGCGTCGCAGACACCTCCGATGCGCGGCTTGCCGACCGTGGCGGGCGATGCTGCAGTAGCGGCCCGCGTGCTCGGGTTTTGCACCCCCCCCCTCCCCCTTTTCCTCCTCCCCCTCCCCCTCCCCCTTCCCCTCCCGCTCCCCCTCCCGCCCCCTCTCTCCTCCCCTCCTCCTCCTCCTCCTCCTCCTTCTCCTCTTCTTCCTCCTTCTCCTCCTCCTCCCTCCGCTTCCTCCTTCTCTCCTCCTCTCGTCCTCCTCGTCCTTCTCCTCCTCTCCTCTCCTCCTCCTCCTCCTCCTCCTCCTCCCGCCTCCGCCTCCTCCGCCTCCCTTCCTCCTCTCCTCCTCCTCCTCCTCCTCCTCCCCTCCTCCTCCTCCCTCCTCCTCCTCCTCCCTCCTCCTCCTCCCCCCCCCCCCCGCGCCGCGCCGCCCGAGAGCAGGGCACCAGAGTCAAGGGAGTCAAGGCCACCCAGCCCCCCTGAACTGGCGTGTGCCAGGCAGTCGTGGGCGTTTCCTGGACGGTCAAGAACTGGCGCGCACCAGATAGTCGTGTCTGTTCGATTCCTTCCCCACGTTCGCTTACGAAGGGGCTTCGCTCGTAGGCACCCCCCAGTCCACACACCCAGTGGAGGGGGCATGGGGGAGGGGTCGACCCCTCCCCGAAGAGAAACGAAAAGAGCTGGAAGAGGAAGCGCCCCAAGACCGCCTCCGCCTGGAGGGCAGGCGGACTATGAGGGTGGCCCTTCCGCCCTCTACAAAAGGCCACTCCGTCGCAGGGTCACTCTTGCGTTAACCCTGGGCAGCCTCGGGCAACCCTGGGCAATCCCTTGCGACCCTGAGCAACCCCGAGCAGCTCCGAGGCAACGCCTGGGGCCGCCTCTGACGCGGAGCGACACGCTATCCGCTCGCAGGGCATAGCGTATCGCCGAGGCCGCCGCTGCGACACGCTACGCGAAAGCTCCCGCTTATAGTCGGGGGAAGAGGCCGCTGCGCCGAAGGGCCACCGTTGCGTCCAGCCGCCACCAGCCGCAGCGCGGTCGGCGGGCCGGGGTGGCGGCGCCTGGGCCCTCGGAGGCGGTAACCCCGCCTCCAGGCTCTCCGCGCCCAGTGAGCCCGCGCGGCGGCGGGGCCGCCCGCCGGCTGGAGGCCGTGCCCGTGAGCGTGCGGCGCACGTTCGTGGACCTGCCCGTGGAGAGGTCGCCGTCGCTGGACCTCGGCGGGCGCGCGCAAGGAGGAGGAGGAGGAGGATGAGGATGAGGAGGAGGAGGAGGAATAATAATAATAACAATAACAACAATAATAAGAAGAAGCATAATAATAAGGCTAATCATAATAATAATAATACTAATATTAAGAATAATACGAATAAGACGAATAAGAGGAATAATAATAACAATACTAATAATAGTAATAACAATAATAATACTAAAAACAATACGACGAATAATAATACTCATGCTGAGAATAATACGAGCAATAATACGAATAATACTAATACTAATACGAATAAGAATAATAAGAAGACCAACGCTAATAAGACGACGAATAAAAATAAGAACAAGACGATGAATAATAATACGACTAAAAAGAATAACACTACTACTAATAAGAATACTAATACGAAGAAGAAGAGGAATACTACTAATATTAATACTACTAATAATACTAATACTATGAATACTACTAAAACTATTATTATTATTACTATTATTAACATTAATAATGTTATGATAATTAATAATACTATTAATTATACTAATAATAATAGTAGTACTAATAATAATGGTAGTAGTCGTAGTAGTCGTAGTAGTAGTAATAATAATACTACTAGTAATAATATTAATAATGATACTACTAATAATAATATTAGTAATAGTACTAATACTAATGATACTACTAATGATAATAATACTAATACTACTACTAATAATACTAATAATAATACTACTATTACTAATAATAATAATACTAATGATACTACTAATAATAATACTAATAATAATATTAATAACACTAATAATACTAATACTATTATTATTACTATTAATAATACTACTAATACTGATACTAATACTAATAATAATAGTAATAATACTCATAATAATAATATTATTATTAACAGTTTTACTAATAATAATATTAATAGTACTAATAATAATAATACTAATAATAATACTATTAATAATAATACTGATAATAATAATACTAAGAATAAGCGGAAGAAGGATACTAATAATAATGATAAGAAGAGGAGGATGAGGAGGAGGAGGACGAGGAGGAAACGGATGAGGAAGAGGAGGACGAGGAGGAGAAGGAGGAGGAGGAGGAGGATGACTAATAATCATATTACTAAGAAGAAGACGAAGAGGAGGAGGAGGAGGAGGAGCAGGAGGAGGAGGAGGAGGAGGAGGAGGAGGAGGAGGAGGAGGAGGGGACGGAGGAGGAGGAAGGCGAACAAGAAACACAGGAGGAGGAGGCGGAGGAGGAGGAGGCGGACGAGGAGGAGGAGGAGGGGAGGGAGGAGAAGCAGGAGCAGAGCAGGAGCAGGAGAAGGAGCAGGAGCAGGAGGAGGAGGAGAGGAGTAGGAGGAGGAGGAGGAGGAGGAGGAGGAGGGGAGGAGGAGGAGAAGAGGAGCAGGAGGAGCAGGAGCAGGAGCAGGAGGAGAGGAGGAGGAGGAGGAGGAGGAGGAGGAGAAGGAGGAGCAGGAGCAGCAGCAGGAGCAGGAGCAGAGCAGGAGGAGGAGGAGGAGAATGAGGAGGAGGAGGAGGAGGAGGAGGAGGAGGAGGAGGAGGAGGAGGAGGAGGAGGAAGAAGAGGAGGATGACGAGGAGGAGGAGCAGCAGCAGGAGGAGGAGGAGGAGGAGGAGGAGGAGGCGGAGGAGCAATAGAGGGATGACGATGATTGGGGCGGCGACGACGCAGAAAGGATGCAGCCTGTTGCTGTCGAGGCGGGGGCCTCGGGGCTACATAACGGATTCGCGGCCCGAGCTCCGTAGCGAGAGCGCATGTGGCGCGCAGGGGGGGCGGCTTCCTGGAATGGATCTTGGCGACGAGCAAGGATGGGGACGGGTGGCTTTCGGACGTTTCGGCCTCTGGAGGCCGTTCCCCAGCCCTGGGGCTGTCAAAAAGCGACTCAGGATGAGAAGCTGGCCCCGGGCAGAGCGTCGAGATCCCCGAGGGCCGCCCGTCCGATGGTCAGCCGTTTTCCCTCTTCGAGGTTTTTGGGCAGGCTGCCCGAAGCTGCTCGTCTTGGTGGCGGCTGGCCGTTTCCGCCGATCTGTTCGGCCCCAGGGCGCTGGGCTCGGCAACATATTGCCTCTTGGAGGGCAGGGGGGGGCCTCTGCGAAGGCCTCCTCGAGGGCACGGGGGGCCTCCGAGAGGGCAGGAGGGGGCCTTCAGAGGGTGCTTCCGCGAGCGGCCCCTTGGACTGTAGGTGGGCTTCCGAGAAGACCTCCCGCCTTCTCAGAGTGCCCCCCTTTAGCCCGAGCCCGAGCCCGCGCCCCAGCCACAGCCCCGAGCATGAGCCCGAGCCCGAGCACGAGCCCCTCGCACGAGCTCCAGCCCCGACCCACAGCCCGAGCCCGAAGAGAGCGGCCGCGGAGTAGGAAAGAGGGGGGATGATGATGATGATGATGATGATGATGATGATGATGATGATGATGATGATGATGGTGATGATGATGATGCTGATTATGAT